AGTTGGTTTATTGTAATAGAAATTATGCTTTGTCAAATGAGTAATATAAAAATATCATTCTTGTAATGATTTGTAAGACCAATATTATCGAATAGCTAAAATGGGCATTATATTGGCTTTTCAAGAGTATCAACTTAGAATTTTGATTTTCGGTCTACCATCCAATTTGGAAACATGATTGATCTCTTTTAATGTGCATTTACTGACATTACTCATGCTGAGTCATGTTCTTTTTTAGATCAGTAATGAGAGATGGAGGCATTTTTCCTTGAAAAAACTTAATTGAAAATATCTGATTTGTTAGGATGCTTGTCTGTTTTAATTTTTAGGAGTAAATTTCTCATTTTCTGCCTATGATCCTTGATTTGAAAACTATTGAATACTATGTTACTGAGTTCATTTGTTAAATAATTATTTTGCTAATTAAAACAGAGTTTGGTTAACCCAAAATTTGCGACAGCAGTATTTGTATGTTTTTGAAGTTTGAATGCAATATCATTATCTTGATTGCTTCACGAATTACTATGTCATTTTTTATGAAGAACTTGGATGTGAATTGAATTTTCTTTTATTGAAAGAGAATGGCTTAACTTGCAAGTTACAGTATATGTGTAAAATAATATAATACTTTGTGAATGACTATGTGATTGATTATTTTTCTGAAAAATTTGTGAACCGTCGATGCAGAATCCATCTACTATGGCTCTATTATTTGAGTACCTAACTCTAATATGACAATTGTTTCTTTACCTTCCTGTAGACATTTATAATTGTGGGATAAAATTTTTAATGCGTATGAATTCTTATATGTGCAAGTATTTACAGTTTTAAAAGTGATTTTATGTTTGTAAGAATTCTCTGTATCGTATATAACTTGTAGAGGAGTTGCAGATAGCAGTGACTAAAGTGGAACTGTCGAGACCAATGAAGATTGAGGTACATGATTGAAACCATATGAAATATTTCGAAGGTGTCCTTTAATACATAAATCATTATTCATCTCTTAAGCATGAAGTTATTTTATTGTATCAACAGCTTTTGGTAGTTCTCTGCCTCTCTCATATTGGATTCCTGAACTCTGCGATATAGTATATCTGAGTACTTTTTGGACAAAGCAACAGTCCCTAAAAACTATCATCCTCAAATCTTTTCTAGTATTCAGTCTCCCTTTAATATATTACTTGGGTATCAGTCATGGCCAGCTTGCAGCACCAAAGAGCCTCGGGATGGAACAAGAATTGTTCACATCATATGATGAGGTTTACAGCAGCTTAGATACATGGGTTTGCAAGAAAATCTTGTGAAGGAAACCTATGCCTGTGGTTTTGAGAATTCATTTGCTATTCAACATATGGCTTTTCTTCTCTTTTGCAAAGGTCTTGAAGTTAATCAACATGTACAATCTGGAACTGGTATATAATTTTATGCTGACTTTATAGCATTAATATTTTGATACAATATATGTTTCATTAGAAAAAGAAAATAGTAGTCTTAACTAATTTTGAAACAGGAACATGAAGCCTCTCACCGTATGGTATGTTTGTTTGCTTATAATATAATTTTTTAATGTTACGTAGTGGCTAAATTTGAGGTAAAGTTGCAAAAACGTTCCGAAATATATTTTTTTTAATTTTAGAAGAGAATTTTCTTTCATCAGTCTATCAAATGTGTTAAAAGTTTGTTGCACTTGGCATTCAATTTCCATATGATGAAGAAAAGAAAATTACGCACGAGATTATTGTAAAATTTGTTTAGCAGCATTTATCTTCCCTTAAATCTTTTAGTCTCTTAGACTTCAAAGGAAACATAATAACTAAAAAATTTACCAATATAACAGTTATACGCTGCCTCTTAATTTTATAGAATATTTACACTGTAATGGATTTAACATTCCATTTTAGTTTAACGATAAAATTAATAATTATAACTATATTAATAACCATAACACTTATCCGTGTTGTATGATAAGCTTTTCACTATAAAATGAGCATTTAACTTCACCTCTTAGATTGAAAGAGGTGTTCCTCGAGAACCATGTACTTTTAAAACTAAATAAGTAATGAATGCTTTATTTATTTTAATTAGATTTTCTGCTAGATTTTTTTCATAAGTTTTTTTTATGTTACATCTTGCATTATATAATATGTTTTATTTTTGGCAGTATAAGTAATTTATTTCCTTTGAATCAACTAATATAAAACAAAGATGTTTGACAGCGCGAAGCGCGGCCAATTAACTAGTATAGTTATATAACGATGCCTCCTTATCTCTAATACCATTTAAGTTGGGAGTTGTAAGTTATGTGAATTCATAACTTGCCGTAAGTGGGAACTATATTTCTGTCTATTCTTCTATTAGAATGAAACACAATCATAATTCCAAATCCCTGGCAGCAGTCTATTCAGTAACTATGTTTCTTTCTTCTGCAGGTTTCACCGAATCACATCAGAAAGTAAGCTGCAACTCTAGAATTAAGGTAACTTTACTGTAAATTGCTTTAGTAGTTTGTCTTAGCCAAAAAACTAAAGAGCGAAAACAATTCAAAAGCCTATATCATTGTTTACTGAACAATCACTTTCATGAAAATTAATTTACTTTGTCTATTATATGCTTGATAGGCAAGTCGAGAGGCAAATAAAACCACTTCAACAGATTGCTGGAAACAAAGGACAAGTGTAAATTAGTTTTAAAAACCAACTTCTCACTGGGGCAAGCAAGTGACAACATTTTAACTTTTCTTGACGATTGATTAAGGCACTTTGTTTGATAGATTACCCTTATTTGACCGAGAAGATTTCATCTTCTACTGCCTTCGATTTCTTCTGAATAATCCTCTCAACCCCAGCAAGAGCAGTACAAGACCAACATAGTCAAAATCGTAAGCCAATCTGACAAAGTCCATTTTGAAATCATTCCAAGGAGGATACCTTGGTTCCAACTCAATTAAGAAGCTCCTATGTAAGACTGCTTTTTCATGACTGAATGTGTCAAAAGAGAACTTCCCATGGTAACGTCCGAAACCACTCTGACCAACGCCTCCGAATGGTAATGTGTCAGCTAAAAACTGACATTGCAAAATTATGACAAGTAAATCAACATATCCTTTTATGCTTATATTTAGCTGAGGGAGTGAGGATATATTTGAAAGAGAAGAGGTGGAGGGATCTTCACACCTGAACCATAGCATCATTGAAAGTCAGACTTCCAGAAGATGTTTCCTGCAAGATCTTCTCCTTCAACGAATCGTTCTTGGTAAATGCATATATTGCAAGAGGTTTTGGCCTCGAGTTTATGAACTGAATGCTTTCTTCAATATTATTCAGCTGTTAAAAGAACCACTTTCCTGTCAGACATTTTCTTGAGGAGATTTTCTGATAAAGTGAATCCAGAGTCAAGTCCTTTTACTCCAATTGAAAGCAAAGATAACATTTTGTAAGCGAAAAACAACAATGATATTGTTTGAGAATCAGTTTGGCCTTACTGTGATGATTGGAAGCAATGGGCCAAATATTTCTTCAATCATGATCTCAGCATCTAGGGGAGGATTCAACAAGATTGTTGGCTCAATAACCCTGAAAAATTCATCAAATAGAATGAGGAACGCGGTGTGTAAGCAATAGTATAAGAGGATACAGAGGATTACATATTTTCCTCATCTACTGAGCCTCCATAAACAACAGATGCTGCAACATTCGGATCTTTCAGAAGGTTGTGAACTCTTTTAAAGTGGTGCTTGTTCACGATTCTGGCGAGATTTTCCAAAGTTTTCAGGTTCTCACCATAAAATCTCTTGATGAACTTCTTCAATAGTTTGATCTGGAATACCAGAAACTACAACAATAAATAGGCGGCTACACTATCTGCCTCAAAAAGACAACAGAATAAATCTTTTAATGAGCAAGCAAGGCGGAAAAGATCAATATAACAGCTCATGCTGCCATTAATACCAGAACTGAAGCAAATTGTGTTTCCACGAGCACATAATCGATTCCTATGCATGCTTGTCCGTTGCATGGTCCCCACTTGCCACCCGCTATCCTTTTGACAGCCACCTTAAAACCAACATTATACTGTGAGCAAAACATGAATAAGGCCTGAATTAATTGGATACTCTACTCCCCTCAACTCTACTTGCTTCTATAACGCAACCCATAACTTTGGTGCAATGACCTAGGACAAAAATTTCCTTTTATTTGCAACAAATAAAGTTGTTACTTATGGGAGATGCCTTGACCCTTAAAGTTTATAGCTTAACTTTCTTTTTAAATGAAATATGAAGTAATCATTATTGCATTAGAAGATATTTAACCATTGGAAACCTGTAAATCGGAGGAATTTGATAGAGTGTCAAGGATGGTCGGACATTTTCCACCCAGTTCTAGAGTTACAGGTGTTAAGTGCTTCGCAGCTGCTGACATTATGAGGCGTGCAACTTGTGGACCACCTACAAAACAGGAGGCCGGAATTATATCATCAACACAAAGGGGTTGTTCATAACTAACAACTCTTTATTCTAGGTCACTTCTTAATTATTCATAAATCATAATTGCTGAATGTCCTCCTGCAAAATGCTCCTTCCAAACATGAGAAAGATTACAGGAAAAAAAATGGCTAAGCTATACATACCTGTAAAAAATATCTTATCCCATTTTAGCTGCAATAGCTGTTCTGATATGTCTTTTCCACCTTCGACAACTTTAATAGCTTCTGGATCCAAGTAAAGAGGTATTGTATTGGCTAGAAAAGAGGAGCATTTTGGTGCTAAGTCTGAAGGTTTGAGGACAACTGTGTTTCCAGCCGAAATTGCTCCAATCACTGGGTCTAAAGCTAGGGCTGCAGATGAAATAGCAAACTAATAAACACAAAGCGACAGTTGTGGACAACCAGCTAAGAGAACCTAGCAGATGTCAATCGAATAATGGAATAGTATAAAATCCATACTGCTTTTGTTCCTGAATTAGTAATATTGATACCGAGTTCAAGGAATTAGTTTCATTGTACAATTACAATAGTAGTTAAAAAGATTTTACTCACAGATGGGAAAATTCCAGGATGCAAATATGAGCACCACTCCCAGTGGCTCTGATACTACTGCCCCTCTTGCAGGAAAGAAAACTAATGGTATCCGGCCCTGCTAATATAACATCATCAGTAGCTGCTCAACACCTTATTGTTGGGAATAAATCCCCACAAAAATAATATTCACGGTACTAAAAGCGAAATAATAATGTAGCACTGAGATACGGTAATTAACAAGAATAAAAGAGTGACAACGACACCAAGACTTTTACGTGAAAAACCCTTTTGAATAAGGGAAAAAACCACGGCCCCGAGACGAGCAACTAATATCACTATAGCAAGAAATTTTACACTTTGTAGGTTCGAGTAAAATACTCCAAAGACCACTACAACACTCAAAATAAATAACCCTCTTTTGAATTTCCCACCTCACTACAATATCGCTCACTCTCTATTTTCCTCTACACAGTCTATTTCTCACAATGCCTGAGAAATACTCTATGCAACTATTGTGTTGCTTTTCTTTCTGTGTGATAAAATGAAGAAGCCGAAACTCTCCTTTTATAGGAGAAATAACCTACCTCTTCAACCAATCAGAATGAAGGATTGGTTGAAAATTTGCAATGCAAATTTTTTCTTTCTTTCGCCTAAGAAGTTTGACATTTTCCTTCTACAACCTAGCTTATTTGACAATAAGAAAGAAAAGATGGCTGCCAATCAATTTCTTCCTTAATTTATGGGATGGACCCCACAAATTTCCTCCTCCAGTCCCATTCACCTGAATAAGGTAGCAGTGTCTTCTAGTTTGAGTGCATGCCGACAAGTTCTTTACATAGCTCGAACTTGTCTCTTGGTACCACCTTGGTTAACATATCAACAGGATTTTCACTCGTGTGAATCTTTTTGACCTGTAAAGATTCGTTCTCCACCTGCTCACAAATCCAATGATATCTCACATCTATATGTTTTGTTCTTGCATGGTACATGAAGTTCTTGCTTAAGTCTATTGCACTTTAACTGTCACAATAGACGACATACTCCTTTTGATGCAATTCCAGCTCTTGAAGAAACCGTTTGAGCCATACCATCTCCTTGCCAGCTTCTGTAGCGGCAATGTACTCTGCTTCAGGTGTTGAAAATGCAACACACTTCTGCAATTTAGACTGACATGATATAGTTCCCCCTGAAAATGTAAACAAATATCCAGTAGTGGATTTTCTGTTATCAATGTCACCTACCATATCAGCATCTGCATAGCCCTTCAAGATTGAATGAGATCCTCCAAAGCACAAACAATTTCCCGTGGTACCTCTCAGGTACCTTAGTATCCACTTGACTGCTTCCCAATGTTCCTTTCCAGGATTTTCAAGGAATCTGCTAACAACACCAACTGCATGAGCAATATCATGTTGGGTGCATATCATTGCATACATCAAGCTTCCGACTGCTGAAGAATAAGGAACTCTAGCCATGTTCCCTTTCTCCTCCACACTTGTAGGACACATCTTCTTGCTCAACTTTAGATGACTAGGAAGAGGTGTGCTGACTGGCTTAGCATTCTTCATGTTGAACCGTTCCAGTACATGTTCAATGTACTTCTCCTGAGACATCCACAACTTTCTGCTTGTTCACTCTCGAACTATCTTCATACCCAGAATTTGTTGTGTTGGGCCCAAGTCCTTCATATCAAATGACTTGGACAAATATCCCTTCAACTTTGCGATCAGCCCCTTATCTTTTCCTACAATTAACATGTTATCCACATACAACAACAATATAATAAAGTTATTTTCAGAAAATCTTTTGAAGTATACACATGGATCAGAATATGTCTTTGTGTAAGTTTGACTTTTCATGAATGAGTCAAACTTCTTGTACCACTGCCTTGGTACCTGCTTCAACCCATAAAGACTCTTATTCAGTTTGCACACCATGTGTTTCCTTTCAGCTACTTCAAATCCTTCTGGCTGCTCCATATAGATATCCTCTTCCAAATCTCCATGAAGAAATGCAGTTTTCACGTCCAACTGCTCTACAAGATCTAGGCTAGCTGCTAAGCTCAAGATTGTTCGAATAGAAGTCATTTTGACAACAAGTGAGAAAATTTCGTCAAAATCAATACCTTTCTTCTGCTCGAAGCCTTTTACCACCAATCGAGCTTTATATCTGACCAGCTTGCCATTTCCATCTTTCTTGAGTTTAAAGACCCACTTACATTTGAGTGGTCTTTTACCCTTTGGAAGTTCAACCAGCTTGTACGTGCCATTTTTCTGCAAAGATTCCATCTCCTCTTGCATGGCTTTCATCCATTGGTTCTTTTCTGGATGGGACATCAACTCCTTAAGACTTTCTGGCTCCCCCTCATCACTGATGAGGACATACTCCGTGGAAGGGTACCTGCATGACTCTACCCTTGGCCTTTCTGATCTCCTCAGAGGTTGAGGTTGTTCTTCTCCCCTGTGTGGAGTCATCCACTTGCTCGACATCATCATCAAATTGCTCCCCCTGCTGAATAACCTCACCAGGTTTCTCCCCTTGCTCGGCAACCTCGTCGGTCGTACTCTCTGCACTTGTGGGATTGTTAGAAGTAGAAGAAATAGTAACAAGGTTAGGAATAATACCATTCTTGGCCTTCTCTGACATATCATCAGCAGTTCCAACTTCACTTTCTCGGAAGACTACATCACTGCTTCTGATGACCTT